CCATTCCAACTTCTGGTCTTCGTCCAAGGTCTGTTGACGCAATGGGCTCTCCTCCTCCCGCAACTCCTTCATAACATCCTCCCTTTCTGTTGCGGGAACAATCAACATCGCCTCTTCCTCTTCTCTCAGTGCCAGATTGGCTACCCACTCATTCACCATTTTTTTTATTTTATCCTTTATCTCTCTCGCGCCACTGGACTACCCTTTTTCCTCTCTTATTATGTTTCTCCACAGGGGTTCCTCCACTTCTTCTTCTTCTTTTTTTGCTTCTGCTTTTGCTTTTGCTTCCACCACCTTCAATCTCTCCTGCCGCTCTTTCTTCCATTTCTCCATCTCCTCCTCCATTTGTTTTAGCTTGGCCTTCTGCTCCATCAAGGCCAACATCTTCGCCTGCTTTATGAACTCCCATCTTTTCTTTTCTCTCTTTTAGTAAGGCGGTGGCTTGACCTTTCCACCCACAGATTGACTGACTAACTCACACTCACTCTGAATATTAGTTCTACTACTACGACTGTTAGTATAGGACTACTGCTGATCAAGAGGCATTTAAGGAGATCCCCCATAACTCCTCCAGAATTCTTTAACATCACAATCGGGACGAAGTGATCAGCGAGTCCTCTCAACATTTAGACAGCTGGTTGTGCAGCCTACAACTCGGATTATGGGCCTACCGGTCCTTGGGAGGGTTAGGCCTCCGGGACGTGTCAGTCGTCAGACATGGACTTAAGCCCTACTCCGCCTGTGTAGGTTTGGTCAACACAACTCTATGCCCACATGCCCAAAGTCCTATAATCTGTACAGAAGTGACTAATGCAGAAAGAAGAGACAGACAGACTTAGCAAGTACCAACGGGTGTGCACATCCACAGGGTGAAGGGGTAGGCTGAACGCTTGGCGAGATTATACCGACTGCAGCTTCGTCATAATCTTGGTCAACGGCCTGTGGTCAACGCTGGTCAACGCCCGGTGAAACTTGGTCAACAATTATGGTGAAACGTCTTTAACCTCTGGTTATGGCTGCCAACCTTTCTCCTTCGCCAACCTTCCTCTTTCCCCCCCCCCCTCTACTCTTCTTTTTCTCCCTCCTTAGCTATGTTGTCTTTCTTTCACCGTCGCCTTCCTTCCTTCTTCCTCCTCTCTCAACTTCTTGTTCGTCACTCCCGACCCTCTTCTTAACAAGGTCTGAGCTTGGCGGCTATGGCAGCCACTTTCTTCTTGGCTGCACAATCCAATCTTATATCGCTCAGCTCTCTCCCTCTCTCTCTCTTTCTTCTCTGTTTGTCGTCGTTTCCTTTTGCAGGTATTGCGGTTATCATCTTCCTCGATTGCGACAATGGTGGTCTTCTTTGGCGATCGTTTTTTTTTTTTCCTGCGTGCGATGGCAAACTACCTTTCTTCGGTGGTACAGTTCTCTTCCCCGATGTGGCGATCACCTCCTCTCTTAACGAGTGGGCGACAGTGATTTGGGATCTGGCGCGCAAATGACATCTAGCGTTGTCGAGCGCATCGGCCCCCGAGGGCCCTCCTGGCCGTGTCACGCAGGAGAAACTTAGGCTTTCAACCTTTTAGAGGCAACACGGGGATGACACGATAACCCACGCCGACCCTTCGCCGCTCCGGCCGAGTGCGCCAGCTGTACATCCCGCGGTCCCCTACGACAGGACAGGTTCTCGCGGGGCACAACTTACCTTCCCTAAGGGGCTGTCACCACCCTTAGGGGCGTATCCCCGCCGAGCTACCGACCCACATGCGAAGGCTTTTATAATGCAATTGCAAAGGTAGGCCGGCCGAGGGCGTTTGCTCGTTCGCTGTAGCATAGGTACGCGTGGTTAAACGCCAAAGAGGACTTGAACGTCGTTCGTCCCTGAGGCGCTGATCTCCCAGGAATCAAACCGACGTCGTTTTTCAAGCGTGAGAAAGTCTCGATCAATCCTAGTCCCGTCTTTCAAAGACAATCAAAAGTTAAACATCAAAAGAAGACTTTGGTCAACGTAAGTTGACATATCTGCTGAAATCAACCTATATATAATACAATCATGCATACGACAAAGGTTGACTAAGCTTCAAACAACTCTTATCAACAAAAAATCAAAGCATGACCTATACACAATGCAACGCTTGAATGATGTCTAACTAAAGTATCTTGGCTGCCACGACTTTTTCGACTTGATGAGACGCGGTGCCAAGTTCTTTCATTCCATACCACAGTGACTGCTAGCAAAGAAATGCTGACATCCCAATTCTCAAGTAAAGTTAGGTTGTCATTGCTTTAATGATGATCACGCTTTTCCTCTAACTTTGGTGTGAATGCCATTTGCAAGTAATTCGGCTACCACTATACGAGTCAGTATTCGACTTGAACGACCAAACACTGAATGCCCCATTAAGGTCAAGGATCCGCTTCCAAATTTTGTTGGTCGCTTTATCCTCCTAGGCAGTAATTACTCTTTCTGTTTCACGAGTGATGAAATACCAGCCTACGACATAAAGATATTCAAGACAGCGCTCTAGTCACATATTTTTGTCGACTAGCCTGATTGGCCGAGGCTTGGTGGAAACCTATCCGCGAAGGCAGTGCCTAGTCGCACTCCGTCCATAGCTGAAAACACGGACTGGGCTTCTTGTGGCGCCAGTTCCCAACTCATATGATTCTCCTAAGACGGCCACGAGAAGGGTTAACTATGACGGTTCTCCTTAACGCGAGCCGCCAAGAACTTGTCCTTTCGTGAGTAGGCGCATGCCCTCTTCCCTAGGAGGTGGTCTGGGATACCCCTCATCCTCGCCCGAGCGAACCTCGGATCTCAGAAGTCAGGCTGGCTCCACCACAACAGCGTGGTATCCTCCCGCATAAGGGGTCCATTCCGAGTCGATAGCAGGGTCGGCCCCTAAGGCAATGAACCCCCGCCTCCAATGCCTCCTAGGAGAGGGAAAGACGTCTACCATGACAGGCAATATGGTCCCTTGTCGCCTGACGTCAAGAGTACTTAGACGAAAAAGGAGATGACAAGAAAGAAAATCATTCGTACAGACAGGCATAGACAAAGAGGGTCATTTGGGAAAGAACGGGTATCCTCAGGAAAAGTCTATGTCGAATTGATTTCTTCTTCTTTGTGTGATCGCTTCGTTTCTCGTCGTCTACTACTTCGCATTCCTTCAACATACATGCAAGCGAGAAATAGAAGATAACCATCCTTCCAATCACTCTCATTAATATGAATAGGTTCCTTTTTTTCAGGCATCCTTCTACCTACCTGCACATCAGATCAAACAAGTTTCAAAGAAGACAATGCAAGTTCCAACTCACGTCAGACTTCCATTCACACGCGCAAACACACATTTCCTCTACCTTTTCAGTGAACATCCAAAGAACAGTGTCAAGCAAAGTGCGGGTTCACACAGGTGTGAAGGGGTCTGAGTCAAAATTGACCTTGAGTGAAGCTTAATTGAAGATAACAAACAGCTCACTCAAGAAAGTCATATAGATCACACCCCACGTGAGAAGATTCCCGCAATAAGCTGTCAGAAAAGTCATCCACGCCACTCCCTCAAAAGGATCGCCCACTGACACACAATCCCCTCAGTGTCCCAGCGTCGTCACCACTTATGACCAGTACCACTATGCCACCACTGTGGCGAGGCGTCACTGCGACAATATGCTCGCATCACAACGTCAACCTATAGGGAACCAGTAACGTTGCATAAGCAGTGCCCCTGCACCACCGCCGTTCAAAATGGTGTTGCCGCCGCAGAAATCGGGCAGCGGTCTCGCTCCACCGCCCAAAGATAAAAGGCTGCCACCGCTGCGTCGATCTAACAGCAGCTTCCTCAAACCTTGCAACAATGGTCGCCGACGCCGAAAAAAAAAACGGCAGCGCTTCCTCATCACCGCAAAAGAATGCTGTCGTCGCCGCGCGGAGCGAACATCATTTTCCCAATATTACTTCACAAAAGAGTGTTGCCGCCGCAAAATCCGGGCAGCGCTCTTGCTTCACTATCGCAAAAAAGAAAACGAGTGTCGTCGCCGTAAGACCCAGGCACCACCTCCTCAACGTGACCCCGATCTTAGTGCAGCCGCCGTAAAACTCCGGCAGCACTTCCGCGTCACCGTAGAAGAACGTGTCGTCGTCGCTGCAAAAATCTGGGCAGCACTTCCCCTTGTTACAAAAACAGTCGCCGACGTCACGCCACGTGGGCAGTACTTCCCCACTGCTGCTCAAAGATGGCTGCCGCCGTCGAAAATCCGCGCAGCATCTCCCTCACGCACCACTATCACCAAGGTGGTGGCTATGGCAGCCTCCACCCCTCGCACCTTGCAGTCCTCCGACGCTCCTTCCTCCCTCCTTGCTGAGATGGCAGCTATTGCTGTACTCCACAGCTATGGCCACCTCCAGCAAACTCTTCCTCCCTCGCCGCCAGCAGCTCCGCTCCGCCTCACTTCTCTGCAGCCAGCCAGCAATCTCACAAGTGAGAGCCCAGCACTGCTGCCAAGAATGCTTGGCTGCTTGGGCTGGAGGCTGCTTTTATAACCAGAGAAGTGGCTGAGGCAGCCACTCTGCCTCAGCCAAAACTCGGATCTGAGGCCAGCCCTTGATCTGGCTCATGATCAAGGGCCGGATTTCGATCTCAGACTTGAGAAACTCAAGTCTCAGGCTCAGGTATTGAACCTGGCCTGCAATCTGGCCGGATTCAGCCTTAAATTGGCTGATTCCAGCCACATGCAGGAGCCTGTTCATCTCGTACAGGCATTTGCCTGTCCATTCCCGCAGGGTGCCTATCCATTCTCACAGGGTGCGCACCTGTGCTGCACCCACAGCCAGCTGCGCAACTTTTACCTTTACCCCCTTTTTTTTTCTCCCTGTTTGTACTTACCTCACGGCCGCGACCACATACACGACTGTTTCCCTTCCTCTTCCCTTCAATCCTTTCTTTTCTTCTTTCTCTTTTTTTTTTTTTTTTTTTCTTATTTTGTTCCCCCCTCTCGTTTTTCTGTGCATGGGGCAGCTCGTTTTCAAAACGAGCAGCCACCCCTTGGTCATTTCACAGACCAAACTAGAGTCAAGCTCAGCAGGGGTTTTCATCCCCCTGCCCAACTCGCGCCTGAACCTGGACGCCGTCGGTGCCAGGTTAAGGGCTCGACATTCATGCTGCCTGTTTTTTCTCAGCGAACGGACGCAGGCAAGTGTTGGCTGGAGGCTTACCTGTCCCCTCGCTCTCTCTGTGTCTCGTAGCAGTAGTAGTAGTGGTAGGAGTGGTAGTAGTGGTAGGGGCGGAGTACATTTTCGCATTCTAGAGGTAGATTCATTCGGCTTCGCTCACCCTGGTGACTGTTGAGGTTCAGCCTCTGATGAGGCGGTGGAAGTCCGTCGAGACAGTCTGGCACAGTCAAGCTTTTCTCTCTTTTTTTTTTTTTTTTTTTTTTTTTTTTTTTTTT